GAGTCTCGTTCCGATAACGGGAAATCTGACAATCTTTTGAACGCCTGCAGTCTGGGACGTACCCCCTCCTCTGCTAGAGCTTCTAACGCCGAAAAGCCCAAAGTATGGTCCGAAATGAATCGATGGACCTCGTCCATATCGTCTTGAATATCATTGAGCAGGCATATAGCCTCAGATACTGGCTTTTTTGCCCAATCCCCAGCGCCACCTAGCCGCGAGAGTTCGGCCCCACATACAAGCGATTTGAGAAAGGAAAGGATTTCCGAAGTCAACTTTGTTTTGTAGAGTCCAAGATCATACAGTTATCGGAAGTAAAGAGAGCCCCGATGGACTCGGTCCAGTTGTCGAAATATTGTGGTCTATGAAAGGGTAATGAGATCAATGACCCTCTATGGAAGGGAAGTTCCGACCTTTCCGCTTTCGCCACATCCCAAGAGTAATAGCTTCACTGGTGTTTTCATATGGAGTGCCCGACCAATTTCGATGAGGCTCCAAACAACCCGCTTATGGAGAAGTATCTGAAGAACGCGGGATGTCCTCTCCATCGCGACCCATGTTATGTCGTCGAATATGTCACTGGCTATTGACTCTCGTTGCCCATGATGCAGACTGCTGAGGGTTGATAGCGAGACGTCAATGGACTTCGTGGCGTACGGATCATCCAAAGACCTCAACTGGACATGTAGTACTTTTAAAAGCAGCGTCCCTGCGGGATTGACCACTTGCACCGTCCACCCCCTCTTGACCACTTACACCACCCACCCTTACTTACACCATATAGACCTCAGATGCACCCGAATTCCCTAGCTACACCACCTGAAAAGACCATGTGTCAAGGTGGTGGTGGTGTAAGTAGTCTCTAGAAGTGGGGCAAGATAAATCAGACGATATGCCTGACGGCGTGCCCGCTTTTCCATCCGGGGACTCTCCGAGTCGTCTCTGTGCTTGGGCCGTCACTTCGCGTGATTATCACTAAGTTCCAAAATTATTCACCTGTCAGCAATGTGGCAGCGAAGGTAGTTTAGCTTTGAACTCTAGATTCATTGTCGTATAACGGAAGATAAGTGGAGAAGTAGACTAGACTACCATCAAAATACTATCTTCGGTTGGTCTCCGGATCGCCCGAAAAGGTTTCGATAAAACCATGGGGGTTTGGTGGGGGAGTTGAACTTGACGCTGAAGGAACGTTAAATTGACAGTTTGGCAGACGCGCTCGCGCTGGACTATGATACCATAACATGCTTCCGCTTTGTACGCATTATTATGGCCATTGCACAGTAGCGCAGCATGTCTGTGAAAAGCATGAATTCATCGCCCGTTTCAAAGTTTGTAAAGAAAGGCAAATGTATGATTGAGAACTTACATTGATATTTACTGGCCCGTCCGGGGCTGCGTTGCTTAACAATCTTCGCCGTTCTTGACATCTCAGTCGCGCCACAATCTAGTACAGGTGGGTTGCTTTGAAGAGGACGTTGGCTATTGTATAGGTTAAAACAAATTAATTTTGTGGATTACAAGTAGATAACGTATAGATTGTTATGTGAAGCGGCTATAGTGACTACTACTATACTAAGATCAACACTGTAGCCGTATGTTAGCAATATGGCGTAGTGATGAGCGCAAGGTCAAAGTCTATACCGAAATATACACGCACGCAATTTTTTCACGCCGTGACGAGTGCTGGGGACGGGAGAAAAAGGGAGACATTGAACACTGTTGACCTGGGGTCTATTAAAGGCGAGCAGGCTCGAGCCTCGGTTTCGCTTTGGCTACATCCTGAATTGGCAACTGCCATCCTACACCACCTTCTTCAATGTCGAAGTGGTGTATCTTGAGAAATCGGGTGCATCTGAACCTCATGTGGTGTAAGTAGAGGTGGGTGGTGTAAGTGGTCAAGAGGGGGTGGACGGTGCAAGTGGTATATCCTCGCGTCCCTGCGACAACACCGAGATCCGCAGTAGAAGGCTTAAAAAGACCCAAAAACCGCAAAAATCCAATTGTATCAGTTGCGAGAACCAGGCGTGCGTTCTCTTTGGCATTGTGGGCGGATATAGCAGTGAAATAAAGAAGAGCTGGGATGTAAAGGGACTCCCGTCGTAATTGAAAGGCTGGTCGGTGCTTTGCATCACGAAGGTAGGATTCCCGACCCGCCCGCAGGTAGGCTCTCGCCTTTTCGAACCTGCTACTCGAATCCTCAGCAGTTTCATGGTTACTATTGATCAAAACCTCAGGATCCGAAGAGATAACGAGTGCAGTGTCGATAGCACGACTGACCTTGCTTGAATACTGGCGATGCAGTCGCGGACCTCTGTAAGATGTCGATAACGAGTGGATATGGACTGTGTCTCGACGAGCGCAGATACAAGGCCCTTGACTCTGGAATCGCCGATTTGGTACATAATCAACCGGAAAGCTCTCATTCGGACCGAGGGAACATAACCTGGGCTAAGGTTGGATTGAAGGTCAAGAAGGGTAATACGGATAGCTTGGAATATACGTACTGTGTAAACTCTAGAAGGAGACCACACATTTCTTTGGTTTCCTTTCCTTTCTCTCTCCATTCGCCTGCGAAATAGGTTTCCATTCTGCGTAGTTGATGGTTGATGAATATGTAATCCACTCCATTGAGTACTGCCTCTCCTAATCGCTTGATAGCTCGACCAGAAAGATATCCAAGGCCGTAGACAGTGGAAGCAGACGTTTCAGTCGCGGTACTCGAGTAAATGCTGGAAGCCTCGTTCGAATCACTGGCCATCGCTGAGTACCAAGTGGTGGAAATGGAGAGAAAGCAATTGGTATGGTCTACACAACAGCTTCTCAATTATGACAGTGGGGCTATGCACATCTCAGCTTCCCTGTGAGTCGGACAGTACAAACCAGGCCAGTGAACAGCTGTTCTTTTGATGCTTGAACTCCGCAGTTGATTGCACAGTCCACGCCACCAATTTAGACGCCATCAGTAGCTCAGGCCCTTCACCTAGCGACGGGTTTGCTCTACAAAGAAGCTATCAGAGCGAAGCTGACCTCCTCGGGAATCATTGGTTCAAACGCTTACGTCGTTGTCGCCAGACCGGCGAACACCTACGGACACTATGTCACCACTCGTGAGGAATATGGTGTGCAACGATACAAAGCTGCATCGACGATTTATGGTCAATGTAAGTGATACGTTATACACTCTATGATGCGAAAACTGAGGCGCGGTACCACAGAATCTTCCTGCACCGGTCGAGGCGACATCAGCTCACGCAACAGCAAGAAGACGCGAGCCCGGTCCCTAGGATGAGCAAAAGGGTTTGCGGTGAAGGGGTAGGTAGACACAGAGAGAGAGCAAAACGTTGGCAGGGGTAGGTTTAGTATCCAGATATCCAGGACCTAAGATGTGACGATATGAGCTGGAGAACAAGGAGCGGAAAGACATCACGCACATTCACCGAGATCTCCATCTAGAGTCTGCATTCCTCTTCAGGTGGCACGGTAAAACCACCCGACGTGATCCATTGGTCCACCTGCAGTTCCCTCTCCTCGTGCTTGACGAGTGATGAGTTCGCCGGTAGAAACAAGCCGATCTCGGTGTCCTCGACCTATCACAAAGATGTAAGACTGAGCAGAGAAGCATTGCAGAAGAAAACACCCACATAACCCCGAGATTATTCCCGCCGAAAACTCACTCGAGAGCTCCACCTTCTAGCCGGAGAGCACCGTCCGTAGCTTCGCCACTGCAGCTGAGCCCCAAGAACCGCTATATGCATCTGCATATCCAACCGAACGTGAGGATACACTCGTAGCACCAGTCAGAAGGTCGTTCGTAAAGGCGAGTAGTTGGCTTCCCTGTCTAGACGAAGAGTTGATATGTTGATTTCACGTCGTGGCAACCGGGTTGTGAGGTCACCTTGCTGCGTACTAATCTGAAGAGAGGGCAAAACGACATGAGGAAGGTGATGTGCTAGGAGGGAGACACTAAGAACTCACCTCGCTCTACGCTCAGCTAGCGCCGTTTCCTCCTTGAAATTCTGGCATCCAGGGCTCTTGAGCAATGGTTAACATTGAATACAGCGAGTGTGGGTTTGCAAAGCTCCAGCGCAAGAGAAGCTATGATTAGGGAAAACGATATGAGCGAACGATGAGAGCACGATGACGACCAACTAACCGATTCCTGCCCACCAACGAGACTGGCATTCCCTCCGGCCAACGATATCTGAGCCCATCGTGAGCAAGCTTCATAGTCCGAGTTAATTAGTCGGCCGTTTCGTGGAATTGCGAGATTTAAAGGTCTATTAAAAAAAATAGAACGGCATGGGCATCGAGCAAAGTGTTGAGCCGTACTCCAAGACGGTAGCTCACCCATTTCATCGCAACGTATGCCCTTCCTTGGCCCTTCAAAACGGATATTTCTGCGTTGCAGTCGCTTTCCAACTTCTCGGGTGACCGTACCTTGAGTATCTCCACCATTCCTGTAGAGGAGACCGTTCAGCGAGCAGACCAAGCCAGAAAAAGATCGCGTACGCACCATGATCTCAAATCACCCAGCTTCTCAGATTTCATGAAAAATCCTGACCCCGAGACCTGAGTTATTGACGAGGCAAAAGCACAAGTAGTCCACCATTGACCACGAACGATAGCTTCCGAAAATGATCAGGTGTGAGCGAAAGTTGTTTTCCAGGCGAGCAAAACTCACGATAGCATACACAGCCCCCAGGCTTCGAGCATTGATATATTGAGATATCGAGATGAGAAACTTGGAAGAAGAATATGTCAAGTAGATAGCAGGCGAGAAGGTGAGTCGCGATCGAACATGGTGGTTCAGGTCCAGGTTAAGGGTCACACCGGTCGGTCCGGTTCTTCGGACCTTCCGCCTAATATTGGCACTTGGTTCTCGAACAACGCCTTATATCGAAACAAGGAACGCACTGTTACACGCGAAAACTCTCTCTCTCGGAAACACTTTTAGTCCCAAGTAGTGACAACGAAAATTTTGGCTCAGGACAAACAGCCGTCCACTCCCTGGCTGGGAGTCGAACCCAGCTTTCGCGCGCATCTCCGATGTTGAACGATTCTCCATGACAGGCGCGTGTACTAACCGATATACTACCAGGGAATTGTGCTGAAACTCAACCGATCAATCATAGTCGTTGAAATAAGAATTACAATCCTCCCGAGACCGGTGCGCACTTTACAAGACATCTACACTTTGAAAACGTTATGATACAGCGCTCCGACACCTTCCCAAGCTAAGGTCCACCAAATTACCCAGCGCTCAATTATTCACTTCGAACCCTTCCGGTCCCCAATTATCATTCTGATTCCTTCCAAAATTGACATCCGACACTCCATCGCTATTGTGGTCGGTCTGAACTCCCGTTCCTTCATTCCAACTGTTGATAGTAGACCTGAAGGAAGGATGTCTGCCGCCGGACCAGTTAACCTGATCACGACCGGGACGGGGAGTGGGCATTATCCCATTTGGTCCGATTTCGGGATAGTGCACGTCATCGATGGTTAGATTGGAAGCATTCGCGAAGAAAGTGGGATTGCGATGGACAGATTCGGTGGAGCGGCGATAAGGAGTATAGGCGTGAGCGTCAGAGAAAGGATTCTCGGGATCGCAAGAGGAGAATGATTCGACGGAAGCAGCGGGGGAGAAATTGACGAACGTCGGCGTTTCTGAACAGGGGGAGAGTGGGATGAACTCGGAGTAACTTGAGGATCGGGAGTTTCCGTCCATCGTCCAGTGGCTCGACATCTGGGGAACCCGACTTCCATCCATACCAGTTGTTGTGGTGGATACTCGAATATTACGCCCAGTACACTGGTCGCGACCGGTACTATAGTTGATGTTCTGCCCACCGTGAGCGCGGTTGTTGAAAGTACTCGTTCTCGACCCGTCGGACGAAGATTTATTGGTGATGATATTCCCGCCGACAGTGCTGAGGTTGAAGTGGTCTCCGTAATCGACGTTCCTGGCTTTGTGAGGGATCTTTCCGACCGGTGGCTCATTCGAAGGGGCCTGACCCTGGTAAGGAATAGAAAGAAGAAAATTAATCACTCTGAGCATCGAGTTAAACGAAGGGAAGTCACAACTCACGTTCAGCACTACAACACACAGCCCTCCGAAGCTCCTTTCAAATTCCACCAACACCGTGTTCATCTTTGTCTCACGCTTCGCCTCCTCGTAGTTCCGAACATCCTTCAAGTTATGATACAAACCTTCAATCAACCTAGATCAACGTTCATCATTCAGTAAACCCTCATCGGCGATCAAGAAAGGTAAAACTCACTCTGTAGCCTTACGCAACTCCTCCCATGGCTTTCTCGCCTCCGCTGGCACCTCCATCTCGACAATTTTCCCAAACACCCACTCAAGAACCCTCTTAACTTGTTTCTCCTCCTGTTCGTCAAAATCCTGTTTGTAGTCGGTTACCTGAAACCCATGCAAGAGCAGAACGCGGACTCACAAAAACCCAAGGCAAAGCCGCCCACATATCCAACGCCGCCTTGGCAACGTTCGCCAACTCCCCAGCTTTCCTGTCCCGGATCGTCCTGGCCTGCTGGACGTTTAACTTCAGGTCTCGGAGTTGAGCTTGAGACTTGGCGTCGTTGTTCTGAGTGGAGTGCATCTTGAGATTTGTTGGTTGTGAGTTGGGTTGGTGAGTTGGAATTGAAGTTGTGATCGAGTGACGGAGTCTGTATTGTACAATACCCCAAACGAGCGTCCCCTTGCCCGGTTTTATACACCTCGTTCGATGGTTTGTGGCATAAGCTTTGACCGTCCAGCGGCCAGCCACTGTTGTGCCACAGCCTCAGTTTCAATTGAGGGAGACAATACTCAAACACCGGACAAGGGTCAGACAAGCCATCGGGGGCGATCGTCTATGGAATGTCAAAGCTAAGCTTCCGCTTCAACATCTGAAACCGTGAACAATCTGGGTCCACTCGACTCAGACCTCCTGATTTTTGTATCATGAGGACGATACGTACTCCGAGACATAAAACTGACACTAGAACTAAGGAGAATTTCGTAGATTGTAGACTGTAGTGCCACCAAGCCATTCGAGGCCAGACGTGCCAGAACTGCCGCCGATCATAGTAACCACAGATCGAACGATTGTGGGCCGTGGCAATGCCACTCGATATTTGTCGAAAGAACAACAGTCGGCGCAATGCCACTTGACAACGTAGATTTGAACGGGGTATGTATGAGATCGCGCCCGAGCCCAAAACGCCATGGCCCAGACCAGTGCCGTTTTGAAAAATAGACGCCTGGCGCCAGAGCCGCCTGAGTCACGAGTACTCCTGGGCCTCCAGGTAATCCGGAACATTTAAACATGTCGTCTGGTTTCCCCGATCTCGTGATCAAAATATTACACGGCCCATGTTTAGTTCATGAGCGGGGGAAGGGCTGGGAAGCATCGGTATCGGATGGTACTCTGGACAGAACGACATGAGGATTGAGCGTCAGGCTCGGTCGTATTCGCCGACGACGACCCAGTTATCTCGGTACAGCATCTGCCTCTTCTGTGTGAATTAGACTAGACGTCCTGCTCTGCATCCTGGTACTTAAGTGTCATTCAGTTCGTGGGTATTTCGGTCATTGAATCGGTTGCGCAATGTGGGGGTCAAAAGTCGCGTACTAAGGCTCATCATCGTCTCAAACCGCTCAACATCTCTCAAGGGTTAGACCCAGACTCATGTTTGTAGCTTTGGCTGGTGCATACAATCGGGCCGATTGGTATGTTGTTTTCCCGGCACATCGTCTTTATAGCAAAGTTCAGGCAAGTTCGAAATAATGATAGAAATGGGCAGATACCGTAGCCAATGATAAAAAAACATGGCGGAATGGCTGACTCCCTGGCTGGGAGTCGAACCCAGCTTTCGCGCGAACCTCATCTCCGACCAGAACATTCACATGACAGGCGCGTGTACTAACCGATATACTACCAGGGAATTGGTAACGGTGTCAATTTCCTGGTATCATTGCCTAAAATAGGACACACTATTATCCGAAAACTTGAATATTACGATGTATACTATCAAAAGCGTGCCAAACCAAAATCTAAATCAGTCCTGAGTCATGTTACATATCCCCTCCTCTCGATCCGTGATTGATATTCTGCCTGCCCGTTCCAGCATGATGATACATCGTTCCGTTATGATAGTATGTCGTGCCACTGTTGCCAGGATAGTTATCTTGGCCCCCCGTCCCTGATCCCATATTGCTGACTGAGACGAAACCGGAGGGATAGGTGCTGAAGTTGAAGTTGTATTGATCTCCCGAGCCGGGGTAAGAATTGGAAGAGTGGGACTCGGAGTAAGTCGAAGAGCGAAGGTTCCCGTTCCTCACAGAGGAGGTCGACGTCTGGGTAAACGCGCGTCCATCGAGGCCAGTAGTGGAGGTAACCACACGCACATTTCCGATATTCTGATCCCGGCGGCGGTCAGAGTTGATGTTCTGCCCGCCATAACCGTGGTGGTTGGAGGTAGAGGTTCTTGAACCGCTGGACGAGAAATAATTATTGAACGTTCTGCCTCCGACCTGGCTGAGGTTGAGGTAGTCTCCGAGAAACCTTCCATCGCTGGGAACGTTCTCTTGAACTGGTGGGTCTCTCGAACGAGCATTTCCCTGACGACGTTGTAAGATTAGCCACCAAACCTCGCTAGAAATACTATGAATGGAGAACTCACATCCAACACTGCTTCACACAAGTTCCCGAACCTATCCTCAAATTCTTTGATCCACCGGCCCATCTCTGAATCGCGACTCCATCCTTCTAAGTTTTGGACACTCCTGAGGTTTTCGTGTAGACCTTCTATCATGCTATATCATGTTTTCGTTAGTCGTGTTCGTAGGATCGGATAAATGAAATCAACCCACCTCGTAACCTGATTCAGATTCCCCTCAATCCCCCGCGTCCCCCCTCGTCTCTCCACATACTCCCGAATGACACAGAGCTTCTGGAACGCCCTCCATAGAAGCAAGATCACCCGGTCTTTTTCAGCGGGTTTGACGTTCTATTCATGTCGCATCATAATTAGTAAACAGCACGAAAACTAGAGCTTGACGGGTTACTCACGAAAACAGAAGCCACAGTCACCCACACATCCAATGCCACTTTCGCCGCTCGTGCGAGCTCGCCGTAGATAGGAGCTTTCTCGTATGTGGCGTCCCGAATCATCGTGACCTGTTCGATGAGTGGCTTCGGAATCCGGACGTCTCGGACTTGGGAGGCGGCGTCTTGATTCTGGAAGGAGTACATCTTGTTGATTTCTTGCTTCGGGTACGATTGATTGGTTGGCTAGTTTGGTGTTTGCGATGAAGTTGTAGTTGATTGCGTTGCGTCCGGTTTTATATACCTTCTTCAGTGGTTTGTGGCACGAGCTTTGCCCTTTGGCCAAAGGCCAGCTACCATGCCATGTTCTCATTTTTCGATTGAGGCAGACAATGAATAACCCTAATTAGCAGGCCTCGTGCGAAACCATTGAGCGCGAGGCACTGTGTCTTTTCTATTGTTTACGCCACTTCGACGTGTAGGCTTCAACAATCGGGACGCCAAGTAAACTCGGCTCGGAGCCCTAGAATGATAGAATATGGATTCCAGGTTGAGGTTCAAGTTTATAGTGAGATCTGATTAGTCTCATAGGTCAACTTGAAAACTGATCCTACCGTCCGGGTCTTCCAAGATTCAGAGTGATCAAAAGCTCCCTGGCCAGTGGCAACTCAGATCGATCGTACGACTGTGGCAACGCCACTGAACTGCCTATTCGTTGGATAAGAGCGCAATGCCACCGAAGGTCACATATCTACAGTTCTCATAATTTAGCACCATCGTGAAATCAAGAACGACTTCATGACGCTGATCATCAACACCGTAGAACCCTTTTGGGAATAGACGCCTGGAGGGTGGAGCCGAAGCAGTCAAGCCACTAAAGCATCGGGTGGTTTGTTGTACTCCGAGAAGGCATCGTCAGAATGTATGGATTGAAAACTTGTGGGGTTTATGTACATTGAAAACGATTTGGAAAAGGAAGATTGTACCCCTGTTTCTTCGGCTCGATGCCAAACCCAGCTTTCGCGCGACACTCGACCGATTGATCGTCAACGTCTTTTACTAACCACAGCCGCATTTACTAACCGATATATTGCCAGGAAGTTCTCAACTTTTCTTCCAAGTGATGGTGTTTGATTTGATTCCAGTAATTGTTCCTTTCTAACTAATGACAAAGTTCTCCAGTCTGTTACTATTCAGAAACCTGCGTTCTTCTGAATTTGACTACCATCGCCCATCATCTACCAGACTCAGCACATGATAGGATTCGCCGTCGACCCGTCCGGCAACTGAATCACATCGTCAATCGTCTTATCACCTGTATAATTCGCATTCTGAGTCTTCCTAGCCTGCAACCTCGCACCTATCTCCTCCGACTGGCGTTTCAACCAATTCGTCCAACTTTCCCGCAGCTCCGGCGTGATGCTATCATCCTTGCTGGGCGGCCCATTCCACCCGTAGATCTTCGCCTTCGTACCTCCCGTCTCGTCGCTCGTCGGAGGATCGCACCAATCTCCATGATTTTCCGATTCGAAAGGACTTGAGAAGCCGAGGACGACCTGGTATGTGACGATTGTTGTGCCCGAATCGGTGTCGGAGACCTGGAAGTAGTACGTCTTTTCGCCCGTGTGGATGTTGTAGGCAGCAAACTCCCCCGGCGGGAGAGCAGACCGGTTCTCGTCATCGGAGTCATGTCTACGATGGCGTGAATTGGAATCCGCTGCTGAGGGCGTAGGCGCAGGCTCTTCAGGAGGTGGAGGTGGAGCGGACTAGTGCACAAAAACAGGAAAGAGAGCATATATCAGTCAGGCCCAAGATCGACGAACCATGAAAAAGAAAGCCTGTACCTTAACCAATTCAACTGCCTCCCTAAGACATTTCTTAGACCCCTTCAACTCTTCGACCACAAGATGCTCATTCCTTGCGTGCCAGACGTAGGTACGATCAGCCACTATGTGGAAGTACTTCTCGACTCCTTCCATTGTTCTAAGCGTGTGGCAAGACCTGAGCACCTTCTAGGGCCAAGTAAAACAATGGTAGGAAAACGTACGTTTCGACCATCCTCAAAGCCTCCGTCATCTCCACCCCTCTACCCGACCCTCTAGCCTCTATCACCTCCTCAACGTCGCACAGCTCATCAAAAGCCGCTCGAAGGAAATATTTGAAGTGAACGTTCAAGTCCTTTAGGAGGGCCTAATGATTGCGTTGTGTCAGCTCATCACACAATGAGAAAGCTTTGTTCCGTTGGCGCTCACATCCGACGAGTCAACAGCCCTCTTCATCCTTATTGCCACCTCAGCTGCCTTCGCCAGCGAAGGAGCACTAACTCGCATACCCTGTATCATTCTCACCTGGAGGAAGACAGGATGTGGGATGTCCGTGGGTTTGGGCTGCTCACCGCCAGCGGTAGGTTGCTTTTTTTGGCTGCGTTCGTTCTCTTCTTCCGATCCTGATCCCAACGACCCCCAGAGTGGACATTGGAGGCGTCATTATCGGCGCTGGAGCTGGAGTTGGACGTAGATTCCGAAGTCGAGTTCTGGGAAACGGGGAGTCCAACGATATGTGCCATGTCGTTTTGCGCGTTGAAAAAAAAGGAAAGAGAGAAGAAAGTAAGAGAATGGAGATTCGGTCGGCTGGGACGGTGAGCAGTGAAAAAGAGTGTCAAAGTCGAGTGGAAGATTGATACTCTCGAAGTCCGCCTTTTATGGAGACTTTCGATCGCCAGTGGCACTGGCGACCAAACGCGAGTCAATGCCACAGTTTCAACTTGTAATCCACGCCAACAATAAGGTCCGTCTATCTGATACAAGCCATCGGAAGGACCTATTGTCAGTGGCTTGGACCTCTCCCCGTCGTTGATCCTTCTTGAGCCGAAATCTAAGACATACTCGCAGGTCTTGTGTATGCGTACAGACTCGGAGCTTCATATCACTACTCATGCTGTTTCAGTGAGATTTGGAACAAGCCGCTTCGAGATCTGCGACACATGTGCATAGCCTCCGTGGTGATCGTAAAAACATACCTAGGCCACACAATACGAAGAACAACTATTGGGTTGCCACGGAGATTCATTCAGAAGGGCACACTGGACCTAAAAATCATCCATTAGCTGCTGGTCTTAGTACGCCATTAGTAGATTCTAACTTCTTCTTATCGACCTTCGGAGGATCAATCAAACCCCGGATCTAGGCAATATCGAGTTGCAAGATACGGAATAGAGGGAGACACAAGGGTCAACATTATCGGAAGCTGAACGAGTGACATGTATCATATTACTATCATCTAGACAATCGCCACAGTTGCTTACCACCAATGATGTTCGGTTGGCCTAGGTTCGTATTTGTGGGGGCATAAGAAAGGTGCAAAAGGCCAATCCAGTAAAGCCCAGATTCTGGCAAGCAGCCTCGAAAGGCAGAAGGGTAGCACGGCCAATCCTCACCGTCTGAACTCTGTACCTATCTCCTGATTTGCAGCAGTGTCCACGCTGCCTTCCCGCGACCAACAGCCTCTCATCAGGAACTGAACGAGACCTTGTACTATGCTTGAAACTCCCGCACTTGAGTGTGCGCAGCTGAAACGAACACCCATGCTGGTACACATAGCGTATTCAGCGAAATAATAACCCACACGGTACGAAAACACCTTACTATGAATTCGAATCGCTGATGATCCCATCACTTCGGGCTTGATGGGGGTGCCTCATTGATTAAATCGTTTGGTCTTCCCGCTTTAGCTGCGATCTACAGAACATCATATGACAAACATATTCTTTTAGCATTCAACGAGACGCACGCTGCGATCCGGTCCATACCTCGTGAGGTCGCGATGCATGCTGGTCTAGCTCGGGCGAGGACCTCCTCAGAGGGTATAAAGGACCTCTGTTCGACCCATATTGGGCCA